CTAATCAATTTATTAACCATTGCCTTAAAAGAGTAGGTGTTGGTTAATCTTTGGATTATGGTAACTTGGCGATTTTTTGGCGAAAATTTGGCAACCAACCCTGCTACAGCAACCTGCTAGTTTTGTTTTGTACGCCATTTTGTTTTCACGAAGTAAAGGCATGTTTTTTTTTTTTTTTTTTTTTAACTCAACATTTTTTCCAACAATCTGCTAGCCGAATTACGCTTATACTAGAACTTTTATGGAACAAAAATGCTTAATCATGACGAAGATTAGGTGCGAAATTGGGAGAAAGTGCAGAATCGCAAACTGCTTGCTGCGTTTTTAAGAATTGCACATACACGGTATCATCCATGCATACCTCGACCTATTTTCACTTAAAAAAACATCCAAGAATTGCACAAAAATTGCATTGTGCACACTCTTGACTTTATCCATGTACACTACTAAAGTCCTAGCTAGTAACTTTTATCGCCTTACCAAAATTTCGCCAAACTACCTGTTACCATATTCCAAAGATTAACCCAGGCATTAAATACTCACTCTAAATCATTTAACTGATAAGGATATAATAATTTGTTCCTAAACCTGAGAAGGCGGTATAAGTTGGATGACTATCAGTTGAAGGATTTGTACATAGTGTAATTACAAAGCTGTATATAATTTAAAAAGCTGTCTTCAGATATGCTGTTACTAAAAAAATGGGCCTATTTCATAAACTTTAGTCTGTCAAATAGATCTTTGACAAAGAAAATTCCTTTTTTCCTTTCCTTAATTTTTTCCTCGTTACGGCACGACAATTAGCCAGAAATTAATTAATTTCCATTCACTAGTATATTCAAAATTTTAACAGACGGTTTCACTCACATAAGAAGAACTCCGCAACATACGTCCCTCAAGCACTAGTCACTCCCTCTCCCATAATTACTCCACACAAGTTTTGCCAACGGAAATAATTCAAAGCCCCTGCTGCCGACAAAAAATTTCGGACACACAACTCTTCTGAGTAAGACGTGAAAACAACACTTTACCCACTTCCCTCTAGAAAGAACGTAAGTTAATTAATGCTTTTTCTGGCCTTTTATATCTTCATGTACATTCCCTTTTCTTATTATATATATTTTAAATTTAAATTTTTATTTTTTAATTGTTTTTGCAAAGATTGCATTATATTTCATAATTTTCTAATGTTTATTTCAATTACTTTGAGTTCTATTTCATAATGCCAATTTCCAATGTTTAATTTTTTAAATAGTTTTGAATTAAAATGCATAAACACAACTTTTATCACCTTTTATCAACTTTTATCACCTTATCATAAACACCTTTTTATCACCTTAACTTTTATCACCTATCCATGTACACGTCGACCGGTTTAGGGTGTCGGGGAACAATTACTTAATTAGTAATTTATCAATTTTACTGCATAAATTGCTTTTCACTCAAAATTGAATTAGCGAAAATGCTTAATCAGAATGATTTCTTTGGTGCTCTGCATTCATTCTTGATCCCTTCAATTCATTGAAATATTTGGCCTAACTTAAATTGCCAGTTTGGCATCGCCTTATTACTTGAGTAAAGGATGAAACACCTTCATATTTAATTCTTAATTATTGTTCATTGGACGGGAGTTGGTTTGTTCCCCTTGAAAAGTAAACTAATTACTGATCAATGGCAATGATTACTTGCTTTTAATTTAATTACTTGCTTTTAATTAAATTTCTTTTTGCAATTGAAATTTTGTTCTTCATGATCTGATTCAAGTCCCCATTAAACATTTTTCACAATTTACATTCAAGTTGCTTTAAAACAATTTTGAGAATTGAACTTACTAACTATGGATTCCCTCTTTTTGGATAATTCTACTAAAATTAATCTTAGGAGATAATATAATCAATATTTCTTTAATAAATAAATTATTATATATAAATTACATCAAACATATTTCAAATATGACAAAATTGAATAGTTTTAGCTTTAAAAGTATTTTATGCATTTAGGGAAGAAAATCATATCCACACACCTAATTATGTGATTCAACTACATGATTTGTGGTATATGAAGAATTCTTTTTTTTTTTTTTTTTTTTTTTTCTGCTTATGCAGAAGCTCACATCTCAAGAAATGTATAAATGCTTTTCAAATTCAATGCCAATTTCTATACTGAATGAATTAATATAATGAATAATTTTAAAGATGATAAACTTCTTTTATGACCAGATAAATTTAGATTAATATACTAAACTTTTGGTTATTCATTTCAAATCATTTATTTAAAAAAAATTCCTATGGAAAAATGACAGTATTAAAAGTTCTAAGATTAAATTTTAGTTTTGAAGCTTAGAATAAAGATAAAAACTTAATGTTAACATACATCAGAAAAATAATCTGCTATATCATAGAGGAATAAAGATCTGCCAAGGAAATACTAGCAAGTTTCATTAAATTCATTTTTGGTATTTATGATTTTACACTGTTAAAATTAAATATGAAAGAATTGTGGGAGAAAAAAAGAATGATAATGGCTATATATTTTTAACAGATGTAGCAATTCAAAAAAAGGCTAGCAAAAAAGAATAAAAAAAGTGAAGGTGAAGGTGTCAGGATAATGAAATGTGCAAGATATTAAATTATAAAAATAGTCAGAAACTGAGATATCAAAAACTGACTTTGTGTTTAATGACATAGTTTTACATAATACATTCTATATAATCTAAAAAATTAGCAATGTGATTATCCCCACAGAAAACAAGTAAAGCAGATTTTTCCAGATTTTCATCTGGAAAAGTTGAAAATTTACATAAATATTATTACCATTTTCATTAACTAGTACTTATATAGTATATTGCACATCATTCCTTTAAAACTTGAAAGCTGTTTTACAGTATACTGCATGTTATTCCTTTAAGTCTTAAAGAAGACAAACAAAATTTTCACAAAATATAGAGTAATTTTTAAATTATCTCCATTATCCATTACATAATACATGTATAGACTACAAAAAAGGCATATTAACAAGGACCACACAATATATAATTTTGGCTACTTACACAATAGTGCATCCATTTTGGCAGAGTTTGGAGATATTTTAAAGAAGAAAAAAATGACTTATAATTAAAAAAAATATATATATTACATATATATACATATTAGAAGACATTATTATTATGTACATTATAATTTATTCTCAAAAATCAATCAATAAACCTACTTGCAAGTATTTTCTTTTTCCTTGCAGAAATTTCATAGCTGTCTTTTAAGAATGGTTACATAGAATATGTTCTCTTCAGAAATTATACAAAATAATACTGTGTTCTTGCACAAATTATACAGTACATTTCTTTTTCACCAGGCAAATCCATACGTGCATATTATAAAACTGAACTTAAAACAAAATATATCACTATTTTTCTATAAAAGACATTTGATAAAAAAAAAAGACTGTATATGTAAATGACAATATTGCTTGCTAAAACTACTAAACTGTTAAGCCAATGATTGCTGGAGGAATTGTTATATCTAGCAAAACAGGGAAAGTGCAGAATCGCCCACTGTTTGGCGCATTTTAAGAGTGAAACTTTAGCCACTGACTACACTCATAAATGTTTTTAAGAATTGCACATACTCCGTATCCATGTACACGTCGACCGGTTTAATCCTAGTATCACACACCGGTGCACACGGAATTTGGCTACTTTATGATGAGCAGTAAAAACGGGACATATACGATGAGTAGTTAACGGGTCATTCAAAGAAAATACATAGTATATACTACGTATATAGTATATATACTATGTATATAGACACATAGTATATATATATAGACGTTCTTCGGTTCATTTTTGGTGTTGGCGATAATTTTCAAAGTCGCGCCAAGGCAGCACCGTATACTATAATTTTACCCGTCGACCTATTTTCACTTAAATCACCCATTGTTTGATGCGTTTTTAAGAATCGCACATACTCGGTATCCATGTGCACATCGATCTGTTTTCACTTAAAAAAAAAATCCCAGAATTGCACAAAAATGGCATTGCGCACACTCTTGACTTTATCCATGTACACATTGACCTATTTTCACTTAAAAAGTCAAAGAAAATTGACAAAAATCCATTTCTTCTTACTTTTGAAAAAAGTGCCAAACAAATAAATGGGTGATTCTGCACTTTAGCCACTGACTACACTCATAAATGTTTTTAAGATCAAACAAAAAAGTTTCAACTGAAAATTTTTACTTTAGTAAAACATTTTTAGTATTTTTTCAATAATGCATGTTAAAAATAAGCAAAATTCGGTTTAATCCTATTATCCGGTGCACACGGGATTTGGCGACTTTATGATGAGCAGTAAAAACGGGACATATACGATGAGTAGTTAACGGGTCATTCAAAGAAAATATACAGTCAAACATAGTATATGCTATGTATATAGTATACATACTATGTGTGTATATACATATACTATGTGTATAGTATATATATATAGACGTTATTTGGATCATTTTTGGTGTTGGCGATAATTTTCAAAGTCGCGCCAAGGCTGCACCGTATACTAGGATTTTAAAATTCGACCTTAATTTGATATTTATTTCAGATATAAAGATTAATATTTTATTTATACTATTAATTTGTGTAACAATGAAAACTGATCATGATTTACTACACCTAATTTTTAATTAGGAAACTTACTTTTTTACAGTATAATGAATATTATTATTTAAATAGATAACACTACTTAAGTAAACAAAGAAGGGGTCAATCATTTTCCACATTTTTATTCTGCTTATAGCCTTTCCTATGCTTTCCCCCCTTTTTTATTGGTAGTTTCTGTTGCTGAATTGAAAGCGAAACTAAAAAGGCTGAATTTTACTTCTGCTACATAATTATATGGGTCCAATACAATATATCCTATCCATTTATAATAATCAAACATGACAAACGGTACTATGCAATTATGAATTTTTCGATATTATACAGTCAGAAAACGAAAAACATTTCTTACCATTTCTAAAAGATACAGCAGTACAAAACTACAGAAATACGCTACGGATGCCATGATGAAAATTTCTGAGTAATGACCACTACACAAATACTACTGAAGTTACAAAAGCGTGAATCATCAGGAAGGTAATAATATTATAATTATTTTGAGAAGCTGTTAAACGATACTTCTTCAAAATAGTTCTCGGTAAAACACAATCCATCTTGTTTACATAATATTTTTAACCACTGAAGACCCTCTACATAACTATTTTGCTTCCTTTCATGATTAAAAGAAACTCACACCAATTTTCAGCAGCAGCACTTAATTGTAAGGGCTAAATCACAGCGTATTTGAAATGTAAAAGACATTACATCTACATCAATCGCATCATAATTCACGTACATTACCGATGTTTGCATCGTCGTCTGTTGTTTAGTTACAGTAGTAGTTGAAGTAAACATTTCATTATTACACTTATATACAGAATTACACTTACTATTACTTGTGCTTTTAAAATTACTTTTTATTAAAATAATACATAAATATTATATTTTCACATACTTTAATCAGCTATAATTAATTCTGCTGTAATCTTTCCCGAAGAAATATAAATATTGCTGTAACTTAGACATTTGCTATAACTTGAATAATATATAATAAAACAATTTTTTTTTAAGTCTAAAATAGTTTCAGTAGCATACTCATATGTCACCATCTTGTAAGAATTAACAGCAGTTTAACTCATATATTTGGCAATGGTTCTCTGGAAACCGGCTTTATTTTACGTCACCATCTTGGTCATTGCACGTGTCCGAAATACGCTATGGCAACTCAAGACAAACTCACAAGAATTGCTATTGTGAACAGTGATAAATGCAAACCAAAGAGATGTAAACAAGAGTGTAAGAAATCCTGTCCTGTCGTTCGGATGGGTAAACTGTGCATTGAAGTTACTCCAAACGATAAGATTGCGGCCATTTCTGAAGAGCTGTGTATAGGATGTGGTATTTGTGTAAAAAAGTGCCCCTTTGAGGCTATATCTATTATAAACCTTCCAAGTAATCTTGAAAAAGATACTACTCATAGATACAGTCAAAATTCTTTTAAATTACACAGGCTTCCTACACCAAGACCAGGCGAAGTTTTAGGATTAGTAGGCACAAATGGTATTGGTAAATCAACAGCTCTTAAAATTCTAGCTGGTAAGTTAAAACCTAATTTAGGCAGATTTCAAGATCCTCCAGACTGGACAGAGATTTTAGCCCATTTCCGTGGTTCTGAATTGCAAAATTATTTCACAAAAATTTTAGAGGATGATTTAAAAGCAATCATTAAACCTCAGTATGTTGATCAGATACCTAAGGCAGTTCAAGGTTCTGTTCAACAATTATTAGATAAAAAGGATGAATTAAAAAACCAGAACTTAATTTGCGAGATGTTAGATTTGGGAAATGTTAGAGAGAGGCAAGTGCAAGATCTTTCTGGTGGTGAATTACAACGATTTGCCTGTGCCATTGTATGTATACAAAGAGCTGATATTTTCATGTTTGATGAACCATCTAGTTACTTAGATGTTAAACAGCGTCTGAAAGCTGCTGAAGCTATTAGATATCTCATTCATCCTGATAAGTATATTATTGTAGTTGAGCATGATCTTTCTGTTCTAGATTATCTGTCTGATTTTATTTGTTGTTTGTATGGAGTTCCTGGTGCATATGGTGTAGTTACTATGCCTTTTTCTGTCCGAGAAGGGATCAATATTTTCCTCGATGGTTTTGTTCCAACTGAGAATCTGAGGTTCCGTGACGTTTCATTAGTTTTCAAAGTCTCAGAAACAGCATCTGAAGAGGAAATAAAGCGCATGTGCCGTTATGAATACCCTAGAATGAAGAAAACCCTAGGTAACTTTAAAATGTCTGTCGAACCTGGTACATTTACAGATTCAGAAATCATTGTAATGTTAGGAGAAAACGGTACAGGCAAAACAACATTTATCAGAATGATGGCTGGGAAGCTGAAACCAGATGATGAGGGCTCTGTTCCACCATTGAATATTAGCTACAAACCTCAAAAGATATCACCGAAGTCTCAAGGAACTGTTCGTCAATTGCTGCATGAGAAAGTACGTGATGCTTATGTTCATCCTCAGTTCATTGCTGATGTTATGAAGCCACTGCAAATAGATAATATCATTGACCAAGAAGTGCGGAATTTATCTGGAGGTGAATTGCAGAGAGTAGCTTTAGTATTGTGTTTGGGGAAACCTGCTGATGTTTATTTGATTGATGAACCTTCTGCCTACTTAGATTCAGAGCAACGTTTAGTAGCTGCGAAAGTTATAAAGCGTTTCATCTTGCATGCAAAAAAGACTGGATTTGTGGTAGAACACGATTTCATTATGGCTACTTACTTGGCAGATCGTGTAATTGTCTTTGAAGGTAAACCTTCTGTGGAAACTATGGCTAATTCTCCACAAACATTGCTTGCTGGAATGAACAAATTCTTAGAATTGCTGAACATTACATTTCGTCGAGATCCGAACAATTATCGACCACGTATCAATAAATTGAATTCAGTTAAGGATACAGAGCAGAAAAAAGGTGGAAATTACTTCTTTTTGGAAGATTAATGAATATTTTATTTAGTGCAGATTACAAGATAGAAAAATTTTATAAAAAAAAAAACCATGTAAGTTGGTTTTCAATTATTTGTAATAAAACGGCAATTCCATTTTGTATATGAACAAAAGATATTTTGTAATATATATATATCAGAATTTTTGTTTGAATTTGGATTGCACTCCTTTTTATTGTAAGGCAATTATTTTTTATTTCTAGCTTATGAAAATTTATGTCTATGAAATAAATGACTTTGCATTCAAGCTGAAAATTTTTTCTTCAAATGATGTTATTTTTGAAGATTTTGATATATTGATGCTATTTTCACAACTTAAAAATAATATGAAGTAAAAATTTTAGCATTTTATGGTGTTGAATGATTAAATTTATTATGTAATTAAGTAAAATAATCAAAATGTTTTTATATGTAGTTATTTGACAATGCAGTCATTAAAATGTTATTTATATTTTGAATAAAAATGCGGCAGTGTGTCATATATTTGTAACCAAGGAGGTTAGAATAGAAGGAGGGAGGGTTCGCAGTTTCCTCCACTATCGGGGAATGAAACTCCGCCGAACAAGCGGCGTCCATGTTTGTGACTTCAAAACATTGCATTACGGCAGTGACATGTACGTGTTTCTAAGCTGTTCCGTGCATTTATTTTCCAGTAAAATTATGTTAAATTTATAATGAAATCCCCCGCTATTGTTGAATTTTTGTTTTAAAGTAATAAAGATGATATCCATAATTTACTATGTACAGCAAATTGTTAAGAAATAGTTTCGAAATCTAAATGCATGCGCTAACATTAAAGCCTTTAAAAAATGATGTTTCTGCATATTTCACGGATTCGCTTAGGTTAGAAAATAAATCTTAATAAAATAAAACAGAATTCATTGATTTCAGTTTATGCGATTTCATATTTTATTAATCTCAAAGAAACTGCCTTTAATTAAGTTGAATTACAGAAATACACCTATATAAGTTTTTGGATACATCTTTCCACATGTTCAATTGGTGTAAATATTTTACTTAATTTTTATCACTATACTGCTCAGAATTTGTAAGTTTATACAAAAAATTTTTAACAAACAGAACAGTTTATCTTAACTTTAAAAAATGAATAATAATTAATATATAAAGAAAAGCATTGCTTTATTTAACACCTTTACAATAATAAAATAGTAACAATTGATTTCTTACTTTTCATGAAAGTTATAAAACGAATTAACTAAAACGTTCAAATTATACAATTTAAATCCTACCAGTAGCATTGTATCTTAAGGAACGAAAGATACCAGCTATAAACAGAAACATTAAAATGTATTAATATATTTTGATTATAGTTATATTAAATAACCTATTTTAAGTCCTTTTTTTTCACATCTGGAAAGAAAACCACATGACATTGTGATATTTTTTGACATAGTTGTCATATTACATAAAAAAAAAAGAAAATTAATACTTACGTGTGAAAAATAATGCACGGAATTTTTTTCGAGAATCTATTTATGCATCCATATGCAATACAAGCTGACATGCTTCAAAAAGAAAAGAAAAAAATGTTGCAATGACAGACTTCCTTGCACAAGTCACGGTGATAACAGGAAGATGGCCGCCAAGCTTCACCGTTTGAGTTGAACCTTCCCTCCTTCTATTCTAACCTCCTTGTTTGTAACCAAATTAATTAAAAATCTTCTTTTTATATATAGACTTTTACTTTGTACTGAAGGAATTTTTTGTGTTTCCAGTTATTCAAGAAATTTTATTTATTTCATAACTATTGCTGGTTTTTGTAAGTTCACAATCTACACACGAAAACCAGTTTTACTAGCAACCAGACATAAAATCTTACTATTGGTGTTGGCTTATGAAGTTTAAACCAACATGAGTTATTTCAGCTGCTGGGTATAATGAATGTTTTATGTAGAGTTTGGGTTTAAAATTACAGGTTCTAGGATTGAAACAGTAATCTTTTGAATAATTTATTATGTATTTTAACAGTATTAATTAATATCTTCATATTATTAACTCTCAGTGGGTCCTAACGACGTATTTATGTGCTTTTTTATGTATGGGGAAATAGAGAATGTACCAATATTTTCATTTTCAGTAAAAATAATCAGTGAATGTATTGTCTTAAAATAAAATTAATAATTGATAATTTACTGTTATTTATATGTTTTTTTTTCTTTGTACAGCAAATGCTATAAACTAAATTGGTATTTTAATTTCTGTAGCCATAAGTAAATGTTGCCTCTTGCATTTAAATCATATTTTTAGCAGATCATCATCTGTTGTTATTGTAGCACTATTTTACCTGGGTTTCATCCGCACAGAACCCGTTGGCGCCGTTGCATTTTTACTCGCCAAGCTCGCGGTTCATCCACGATGAGCCGTAAACGTGATTTTTAGTGCATGTAAGTTCAAGTTAGCAGACAAAGCAATCTATTAAGCATACGGTAGTAAAAATTCACAGATAATAAGCATGCAAATGTAAAACTAACCGGTTAAACGTGATATACGAAAATAAACCTGTCTTTTTTATAATATATTTCACAATACAAATAACCTTCAACAGCAATCAAATTTTCTTTAGTAGCATTGTTAATGAAACTAGAACTTTATACATTTTATTATTTTTCAAGAGTTATTTGAACTGTATTCCTTACACAACAGTGGTTTGCTAATTTTGATGACCATGGGGATGCATCAAACTACTCTGTCGTCTTAGATAATCAATAATATTTTTTATTTCCATTTAATCAGTTATTTATGTCACACCTGCCATCCTCGGAAAGGTTATTATTAGAAAAGCATTAACAATATAGTATTTTGTTAAAATTTTACGCCATAAAAATTGGAGTCGAGAACCGGCATCTATCGACGAAAACTTCTTTAATTATACGAAAATATTTCTATCTATTCGTTGTTAAAAAATTCAGAAAAAATAATAATAAATAATAAGAAGAATATAAATCTCCAAATGCGAATAACGACAGTGATAATTCAACAAAATGAACTCAAGAGAAATGGTTGCAACCTTCAAAACAAGCGAATAGGATGAATCTGATAGGTTACCAGGTTTGAACTATTATCGCCAAAGTTGGCGATGTTTACATTTACCGGGTTGTCTGCGGAAGTGCTTCCTTTTACCTTTTAAACATGGCCCTCAGTTGTTGATTTTAGTACAATTATGAAAATTTAGTGTGATTTTCTTATCTGTGTATGTATTTTCTCATTTATAAGCTAACCACAAGAAATTAATATCAGAAATAAATATGGAAATTAATTGGGGGAAAGTGCAGAATCGCCCAGTGCTTGGCGCGTTTTTAAGAATTGCACTAACTCGGTATCCATGTGCACATAGACCTATGTTCACTTAAAAAAACATCCCAGAATTGCACAAAAGTGGCATTTTGCACTCCCTTGACTTTATCCATGTACACATCGGCCTATTTTCACTTAAAAAGTCAAAAATCCATTTCTTCTTACTCTTGTAAAAAGTGCCAAATAAAGAAGTGGGCAATTCTGCACTGTAGCCATTAATTGTATGAGCTGTAAGCCAAAAGCACATTTTTTTAACTATGAAGGATGTAAAATGAAAACAAAAATGTAATGGTCATTATGGTGCTGTTTTGTAATTTGAAAATAATCCTGTATCACTTGCTTTCCTTTGTGAGGTTTACTGTTGGTGAATAAAATCAATTATTATGTGATGTGTTAAAGCTGGAAAAAAAAAAAAAAATGATGAAGGTACAGCTTGAGTATAGGACCCCATTGGCGATTTTTGGCTTGGTGCATTTTTTGGATGGTTGTTTTTCTGGTAACCCAGCAAACTATAGAATACTCCACTTCGGCAACCCTGTCGCATTTCCGCGTCATTTTCTTCAAAGGAGTAAAATATTGATGTATTCAAGAAATTGTAAGGTACCGTATATACCTGTGTATAAGTCGAGATATTTTGGACAAAAAAATACTTCAAAAGTGAGGGAGTCGACTTATACGCGGGGCCATAAAAAAATTAAAAGAATCGGAAGTTCAAAAATTTCTTTATATAATGCAGTTGTTTTCTTCCCGCACTCAAATTGGATGACTTATCAAATAAGTCACTTACTTGAAGTAATTTCATGACTTAAATTATGTGACGAACTAATCACAGAGTTTCATACTTTAACTAGAGTAAGTTTCGATTAAACCAAAGAATTTTCGGCCTCGAACTACCGATCAATATCGAGCAATAAAAAAGTTTCGCCAAGAAAAGAGAAATGCAGATAGTTTTTACGTACGTATAAGTCTTTATAATAGTTATTGTTCATTCATGAAATACTTTTGTTAACAGGCGTACACGTCAAAATTAAAAAAAATAGCCCATGTAATAACTGAACAGTTTTGAATATTTCTTTTAACTTTTAAAAAGGGAAAATGCAGATAGATTTTACGTATGCGAATCTTTTCCGGAACAAATTCTAGAAGGTTACTATATACGATCATTTTCCCCAATTATCCTGCGTTTTGGATATATTTACTTTTTTTTCTCAGATGATTTTGAATAAATGTAGTACTTGAAAAAAAAATTTTCGTAGTTTCTCAATCGATTTCGGAAGTGGGGGGGTGGACTTATACGCAGGTTTCTTATTTTCTACGAATTTTTTATGTCGAAGTGGGGGGTTCGACTTATACGCAGGTATATACGGTACATAAATTGGGCAGAGTATAGGATTTCTTTGTAAATTTACCATGATTTTGTAAACTTTACTAAATTTTCAGCATTCTTTTATTTTTAATTTAAACATGTCTTCTGAACTCATGTTTTCAGTTTTATAACTTAAAACTTTGTTTTCAATATTGCTGCTTAAAATATGCCTCCATGTACTTGTGTATTTTCAAACTTTTCTTTACTTTTAATTCAAACATGCATTCTTAACTCCTATTTTCATATTTTTAATTTAAACATGTATTCTGAGCTCCTATTTTCAATTTTACAGCTTGTAATTTGTATTTTCAGTATGACTACTAAAAGTATGCCGTTATTTATTTATTTCCAGTTTCACTGTTTAAATATATATTCTAAATTTGTATTTAAAATTTTTCTTGTTAAAATGTGCATTCTAACATCTGTTTTCAATTTTATCTACTTTTTCAAGGCTAAACTTGTATTTTCAATACTATTATTTAAAATGTGCCCCTACTTACTTATGTAATGGGTTGGCAACATTTCTGGTCACCAAGCCAAAAAATCGCCAATGGGGTCCTATACTCAAGCTGTTCCTCATGCTGAGATTAAAATGTATTCAGAATAAATGACTGTCAAAATATTTGGTTCTTAAGTAATTGAATCCTGTTCCATCATTTGAATGAAGTATGAATAGGTAAATGTTTTATAAAGCCAGAGAAACTTCCTTTTCAAGGATTGTGATGGTTATAATGTGTAGAACATCAGAGCTGAAAACCTTTATTAATTCATATATATATATTAATTATTTAAAAACGTTTATTCTCATGATGGAAATGGCCACATCTTGTTCTTAATTTCTTTATATAGGCTTATCGTGTATTCTTTGATTTGGGAAACTAATGTTTTTGCGTAACTTGTATACTGGATGTAACACTGAAAGAAAGATGTGT